GCCGCTCGCGCCAGCGCCGGCTCCGGCCCGGCGGCGGGGGCGGGGGCGGCGGCGAAGCCGTCGGGGGGCTTGAGGGTGCGCAGACCCATGAGGGTCCCGAAGACGAAGAGTGCGCAGAGGAAGAGCGCCAGGCAGGCGCGGCGGCGCAGGCGCAGCATCCTGGCAAGCGCGGCGGGCCAGGCCGGCCGGCTGGGCTAGCGCGGCGCGTCCCCGGCCCCGTCCGCGCCCCTCTGCTCGGAGGCGGCAGGAGCCGGAGCGGCGCCGCGCTCGGACGCGTCCGCCCCGCCCCCTCGGCGGAGGGATCCGTCGGAGCAGTGCGAGGCGCTCCGCCCTTCGCGCGAGGCCCGCCCCGCCCGCCCGCCCAGGAGGCGGGGCGCTACTCCCCCCCCGTGACGGCGCGGGAGGGGACTGCCGCGGCGCACGGCCTTCGGCCAGGGCGGGGCCGGCAGCTGCCGGGCGCAGAGCCCTCGGGAGGGACGGAGGGGCGCCCCGGGGCCGCCGGAGCCTCTGCGGATTGCCACCTCCGGCGGGGAAGGAAGGCCTTCTCATGCGGGGGGGGGGGGGGGGCCCCTTTCCCTGCCTGCACAAGTGCTGCCGGATTCGGGGGACGTGCACCCAGGTCCGCGTCTGCAGCCGCCGGTCTGGTCCCGAAAGGCTGGAGGGCTCCCGGAGCCCCGCACGGAACCACCTCCTGCCGCTCGGGTGCACCCGCGACCCATCGGGCGAGCGGGAGGCGCGGGCGCCCCCGCGGAGCTCCGACGGAGCTCAGCCGCCCCCGCGCCGGGCTGTGCTGCCGCCGCCCGCGCCGGTGTCCGTCCCGCTGTGCTCTCGGCCCGCAGCTCCCCTCCCTCCCGCCAGGGTTCGTCCGTGCCGCCAGCTCTGCCCCCAGGATCGGGACCAGACCGGCGGCTGCACGGGCGGGGCGGCTCCCCTGAACCTCCGTGCCTGCTGCCATTCGGCCTCAAGCCGCACTCCCGCCCCGGCCGCGCCTCTCCAGGCGCGATGCAGCCGCTTCGCGTTCCTGCCCGGCCGCCCCTTTCTGGCTTTGCCGCAGGAGACGCGGCCCAGGTTCCTCGGGAGCCGCATCGGGGTGTCCTTGACCTGCATCGGTGCTTTAAGCATTGCTTTTATTCATTTCTTTACTTAACCTTATCCTGATCGTCGTTCTAGAATCCGTTTGGATGTGGTGGTGGCATGTGATTTCCATTCCAATTTAGGGCAGCCCTATGAATGGAGGCAACCCCCAAAATGTCCTTGATGTCCTTTTAGGAATATCTTTTTATTTCAAGGGTGTGGCTTCTTCTAGCGACTCACCCCATCTCATATTTGACTTTCCTCTTCTTCTGTCTTTGGGTTTGGTCTAATCCAGTCTGTTCTGCTTTCTCATGATGTGGCCAGAGTATGACAGCTTCAGATAATCATTTTTGCTTCCAAAGAAAGTTCTGGCTTGTTTTGATTAAGGGCCTACTTCAGCATCTTCCTGTTGCTCCAGGGTATTCACAAAACTCCAGCACCATGTTTCTAATGCTTTCATTTTCTTCGCTGTCAGCTTTCACATGCATAGATAGTGATAGGGAATATAACCGTGTGGATGAGTCTGTCCTTGGTCTCCTTACCAGATGATGCACCCTTGTTGTCCGCAAAAGTGGGATTTGGTCCTGGGGGGTACAATGCCCAGTCAAGCAACCCCTGGAAAAATTCTGGAGCAAATTATTAAACATTCTGTCTGCAAGCATCTTGAAGAAAATGCAGTGATTAATAGAAGCCAACATGGATTTATCAAAAATAAATCTTGTCAGGCTAATTTAATCGCATTTTTGACTGGGTTACCTCCCAAATGGCTGAGGGAACACTTTGTACATAATCTACCTAGACTTTAGCAAAGCTTTTGACATAGTGCCCCACGATAAGCAAATTAGCAAAACTGGACTAGATAGAAAAAACTATTGGGTGGCTCCAAAATTGGCTGCTAAATTGCACACAAAGAGTGCTCATCAATGGCACCTTCTCAAATTGGATGCTGGTAACTAGTGGGTGCTGCAGGATTCAGTCCTGGGCCCAGTGCTCTCCGACACCTTTATTAAAGATTTAGATGAGGAAGTACAAGGAAAGATAATCACATTTGCAGATGATACTAAATTGGATGGAATAGTGAATACCCTGGAAGACAGAATGAAGATCCAGGGCAATCCTGATAAGCTTGAACACTCGGCTGTAAGCAACAGAATGAGATTCAAAATGGACAAGTGTCAGGTCCTCCAGCTAGGGAAAAGAAACCAAATGCATCAGTACAGGGTGGGGAATACGTGGCTCAACAGAACTGAAAAAGTAAAAAGACTTTGTAGTTATTATGGACAGCAAGCTAAATATGACCCAACAATGTGATGCAGCTGCAAAAAGGGCAAATGCTATTTTGGGATGCATTAACAGAAGTATTACTTCCAAATCACAAGGTGTAGTAGTTCTCCTATGCTCCTCACTAGTCAGACCTCACCTGGAATACTGTGTCCAGTTCCAAGATTTAAGAATACCTCAGCTCACAAACACCAAATCGGGTCGCGAACAAAAATTTCATAAAGATTTTGAGTCAGGTTGTGAACTCCACACTGGGTGGCAACTGTGATCATGGCCATCTCCCCACCCTCCAAGTGGGGAGATGGCCACAATCGTGCTGGGGGTGGGGAGGAGATGGCCGAGATGGCGCCCATCTTTCCTGCACGAGCGCAAATGCAATCTTGGCCATCTCGGGATGACAGGCGCGATCACGGTTGTGCTGGGGATGGAGGGGGGAGATGGCTGTGATCTTTGTTGTTTTTTGTCACTTTGCTTTACATTTTTCTGATTAAAAAATAGTTACAGAATGAATTAACCTTATTTACATTGAACCTTATGGGGAAATTTAAGTTGGCTCACAACCAATTTGGGTCACGACCAGAGTACTGGAATGGATTAAGTTTGTGAGGCAAGGTACTGCTGTACTGTGTCCAGTTCTGGGCACCAAGATTTTAAAAAGATGATGCAGAAAAATTAGGGTCCAGAGGAGGGCAACAAAAATGATCCAGGGTTTGGAAACACTTCCCTATGAGGAAAGACTGGGAGAACTGGGCATATTCAGCCTTCAGAAGAGAAGATTGAGAGAGGACATGATATCCCTCTATAAGTACCTCAAAGGCTGTCACAAAGAGGAAGGTCAAGATCTCACTGATGCCAGAGGGTAGGACATGGAATAATCAAGTCAAGTTGTGGCAACCCAGGTTCAGACTAGACATCAGGAAAAGCTTCCTCACTTTCAGAGCACTACGGCAGTGGAAGCACCTGCAGAGAGAGGTGGTCGGCTCTCCCACACTGGAGACATTCAGGGTGAAACTGGACAGTCATCTGAATAGATGCTTCTCACCTGTCTTTCGAAATTGTGTTTCTTCTGCCATCTATCTAGGCTTTCTCTTTTTGCTCTGGGAAAAGAGAATTGTCTTTTGGCATCCTTCCTTAATGATGTCTCTGGTTTCAGTCGAGTTGTTCTGGCTCATCCTCAGTTAAGCTGAGTAATGCAAATCTGTTCTTTATGTGGACTTCAAATTCTTCAGATGTGTTACTTAAGTTGTACTTTGGCACTGTGTTTCTGTTAGTGATCTTCAGCTTGACTCTGATTTTTGATAGTTTTGATTTTTGATAGTTCATGGTCACTACCGCAGTCTGCTCCTGGTCTTGCTTGGCAGCAATAGTACAGCTTCTCCACTTCCTGCTTCCAATTATACAATATGTTTGATGTCTGCATTGGAGCTCTGGTGATGTCCATGCATTCAGTTGTCTGAATAGCTGCGTGGAAGAAGGTTCTGAGTGGGGTTGGGGACGGGGCTGGGCAGGGACATGGCGAAGACCCTTTTCAATTAATGAACTGCTTCTTCAGAAGTACGCGGAGCGGTGAGCATCGGCCCATCTGCCTCTCCATCGCTTGCTCTGCTCAGCAGCGCAGGCCGCCCAGCGGCCCGGGGGCGCCATTTGCTGCGGGCGGCTCCTTGGCCACACGAGGCTGGCTAGGAGCCTCTTTCGGCCCCGCGGAGGCTCGCTCGCTCGCTCGGCGGTTGCCGCTTCAGACCCAGCGGGACGTCCCGCTCGCTTGAGGGCAGGCAAGCCGGGCCAGGAGGGCCCGGGGCCACGAGCGCTCGCCAGGCGCGCCAGGCCCCGGCGGGTCGGCGCTGCTGGGCCGGGGCGGCGAGGGCTGCCCGCGCCGCAGGCGGCCCCGGAGGCTGCCAGGCCGCGGGAGGGGCTGCCAGCAGCCTCGCCGACTGACTCGCCGGCCTGCTGGGCCCGGGCGGGGCTTGCCGCTGCTTCCCGCCGGGCCCACGGCCCACGCGCGGCGGGGAAGCGCAGGCCCCGCCCCGGAGAGGCCCCTCGCGGCCGGCGCGGCTCGCAGACGGTTTCCCGGGGCGGGGCCGGCGAGGGGCCGCCGTCGGTGCTGGGCGCGTGCCCGGAAGGAGCCGCCTGGGAGGCCGCGGCGGCGGCGGCGCGCAGCAGAAGCGCTCGCCGCGCGAGGGAGGGCCGCCGCTGGGCGCCCGGAGGAGGGAGAGGCGCTGCCGCCGCTCGCTCGGCCTGCGCGGAAGGCCCCGCGCAACCCTCCCGGAAGGAGGCGCCGGCGGCCCGCGAGCGCCTCGTGGGGAAAGCGGCCTCTCGCGGCGCGGTCGCTTCAGCGTGCGCAAAGCGCAGTGCGGCGACCGGCCCGGCTTTGACGGTGCTGGTGCGGAAAGGTAAGTGGCCTCCGAGTCCCCGCACCTGTGGTGGCTTGGGCCTTACGCTCCAGGCTCAGCGGAAGGACGGTCCTAGTAATAGACACAAGCCGTGATTATCAGAAAAAATCGTATGATCACACGAGTCACCCTGGATCATTTTACTCTGTGGATGCAGAAGCCTGAGCAAAACCAGGAGTTCCCTCTTCATCCAGGCTGCGACACTCATATCCTTTTCATACTGTTTAAACGACAGTGGATTGTTTTGATTGTGTGAACCAGGTCATTGAGTTGCTCAAAATGTATGCTGCTCAGTTCTGTCTTGTGGAAATCTGTGACACTTACTAGAAACAGAGCAAGTCAGAAGAGGTCTCCCAGGCCATCTAGTCTGACCCCTGGCTCCAGCCAGTTCTGCTCACGACATGCCTGCCATGTGCATGTCCAGCCTGTCCTTAAACACCCTCACCAATGGGGCTTCAGCCACCTCCCGGGGAAGCCCACTGGGGTCCTAACTGTCCAGAAATACTTCCTGGCATCCACCTTGAGCCCTGGTTCCTTGAACTTGGCTCCGTTGGAGCATGTCCTGCCTTCCTCTGCAGGGGAGAACAGGTCTCCACCCCCTCTGCATGGCATCTCCTCATGTACTATATGTCGCCAACAGATCCCCTCAGAGTCTCCTCTTCTTCAGGTTGAAAAGACCCGATTCCCTCAGTCTCACCTCATATGGCTTTCCCTGCAATCCGGCCACCATCCTTGTGGCCCTACACTGCACTGACTCTAATCCCAAGTATGTGTAGAATTGCAGAATGGAGTTGTAATCCTACACCCACCTACCTGGTGGACTGATCATCTCTGAAACTGGATATTGCCTGTTTTCCTTTCTTCTTCCTACTTACCTCATTTCTGTACTGCTCAATGGCCAGAACTCTCTGGGCAGTTACAGACTTTGTATATAAGTACACCTTGACACAGGGACATGGTAACACTTTCAGAGCTTACAAGTAGAGATTTCAACTTGTTTGCATTAAACTAGCAGCTCATTTTAACCCAGATCATATTTAAAGCCCGGTCTGATCGGCTCATTTGGTGTTGTTTTAATCATAAATTCCAGTTCATAGAGCTATTGTTCAAGCATTGTCAGCGTGGGCAAGCAAATGTTTAAAACAAGGCTGGGCTTCAGGTGAATGCACATGAGAAGCCAGATGAAGACTGTCGGGCTGCAGGCAGAGAGGCAGGCCTAACATACCTGTCCTGCAGGGGAGCAGCTGCTTCTCCTTTATCTGGAAGAGTGAAACCTGGCACAGTTGGAATGTTGCTGCTTTTTGATTCCCAGAATGGCTTCCGAAGGCCCAGTTCTCCTGCACAGCATGGGCGGCTTACTGCAGAAATGTTTTTGCATCCTCCAAGAGCAGCATGAGGCCTGGAAGAGGGTGACGGCTGCCTGCACACCTCTCCTCGATTCGCTGGCCAACCTGGCAGAGCAGATGCGAGCCTCCCAAAGGGTGGTCTTTGCAAGGACCCCACTGGGGGACTTTGTTCACCTGCCGGAGAGGCTGCGGCGGAAGCAGCAGTGCGCCGTGGAGGCTTTGCTGAGGGAGCTGCAGCAGGACAAGCTGTACGTTGAGCAGCTTCTTGTGGAACGGTGATGAGGGTGGTTCTGGGTGAGGGGCGTGCAGCGCTGGGAGCACAGCGTATTCCTCAGCAAATTGATTTTTAGATTGCAATGTTTTCTACCCCAGTGATTTATTATTTATTGCTTCTCTGTCATTGTGGTCCATGGATGTGCATCTCATAGGTAAGTTAAATTTCTTGTCTGGACAATGCTGTCTATTAGAAAAATGGGTTTCTGTTCTTATTCCATGGTTTTATAACAACCCAGGATGGTGGTTTAGACTGAGCTTCCCAGTGAGCAGTGAGGCAGTTCAGAAGTAGCTCAGCTCGCTTTGCATGCACTAAAGTAGCTTATCGAGCTGCCCTGCATTTCAGTAAGACCCTTGCTTTGTGTCCATCTGTGGAGACACAACGAATTGCCCATGTTTGAAAGTGCTCCTGCTATAGAGAGCACTGCTCTCCAGGTGGGAACTTGTGCTCTTAAACCTGTATGAGCCCCCTTTCCCTTTCAGGCAGGATAGCAGAAGTGTGATGGCCTTTGGATAAATAATTTGCATGACTGCTCGTTGCAGAAACGCTTGGAGGCGATTGTGAAAATGCTTGTCCCAGTGGATCTGGGTACACAACGCTTGTGTGACACTGCCTTTTTCTTACACAGCCTGGAACTGCAGAAAGTGAGGGATGCTGTTGGCCTCAGTGTGGCTGGCGTCTTCCTGTTCTATGGACAGCACAGCAGCAACGGGCACCTGGAGCACCTCCTCCAGCGCTCTGCCCTCTGCCCCTCCTTGGCAGACATGTTGGAGTGGCTGCGGGACATTGAGGGGCTGTACCACCGCACGTATCCTTTGTAAGACCTTTGCATCTGCAAGATCCCATTTGTTTCAGAGTCAGCCTCTACTGAAATATTTCTATACAGCTGTTCTGCCTCAGAAAGTTCCCCAAGGTAACCAACAGTCCAGTTTAAACTAATGAGCAATTTGCATGGACTTCTGCTCTGAGAGACAACAACCAGCATTGCACTCAGAGTTAGGGCTGGTATTTTGTTTGTGGGGTATTAATTTAAAAGGACATAGGAGCCCACAGAATTTGTGCCCTGTACAGCTCTAGGTAAGAGGCCTCCATTGTGTGCCTTGCAGTGTGGGGCGATGGATTCTTTTGCCCTCTTGCAAGAGTTACGGAGCCGTGGCCGCAGGACCTTCCTGGCCGGTGCGAACACGTGCAAGTGGCCCTCTTCCTCGCTTGAGAACCTGGAGCTCCCCGGCCCCCAAACAACCTCCTGCAGAAACGTGGTGCAGCTGCCGCTCCTCTGCTGCATGCAGTGTGGAATTATCGGACCACCCCTTCTGTGGCCTCCCGCTTTCATGGGGCAGAGGGGCAGGGGTGAATTGCTGCCGTGCTTGGCCAGGCAGTCCTTAACAGCCGGCAAGATACCTGGAAGCCAAGCTACTCCTTCAGATCGGGCACGCAGACCTCGCAGAGGTGCAAGCTCTTCCCAAGGCCTGGGCGCAGGTGCTGCGCAGTGGCCTGCAGGACACTGTGGAAGGTAACCACAACCGTGGGTGGTGGAATGGCCACCTGGCAGCCTGGTGCCACAGCCCAGGCAGATGCTCCCCATCGGTACGGACGGGCACGGGAGCTCTTGGGGAGTGTGCAGAGTGCCTTCCCTGTTGTGACTGCAGCAGTTGTAGTGGGGGAGGGAAGGATTCGGAGGCAGGGAGGCCCAGGTGAGTAGGAACCGCCTCGGAGCCTGCACACTCCCGGCCCAGCCTTGACCTGGGGAGGGCGGCACTGCTGGGGGTGCTTGGGAAGGGCCTGCTGGAGCCACCCCCGCCCCACAGAGAGCCCTCTTTGCTTTGCCAGGTGTGTTGCTGAAGGTCTCTTTCTTCCGAGGAGCTGTGTGAGGATGTGGACTTGGCCGTGCAGGAACAGGCAGCCTGCAGGAATCGCTCTTGCTTTGCAGCTGGAAGGTGTGTGCGTCTGAGTTCTGCCCTCTGCAGGCACTTGGGCCAGTGGTGGCCCGTGGATTCAGTGGCCAGAGACTGCCAGTGACCGTGGACCATTTCCGCTCGTGCCAGTCCACTTCTGCAACAGTGAACACTGATGATGCCCTCAGAGTTCTGCCTACCTCTGCCCAAGCCTTGCTGCAGCGTGTGGTGGAAGCGCTGCGAAGGCCAGCCAAAGGTCTGGGGCAGAGACCCACACATTGCGCCAGGGGCCCAGCCAGGGCGCACCAGGTTTTGGGGCTGGGCTCCTCCCACAGCTGTGTAGTGCCCTGAAGATCAGACAGACGGTGCTGCCGTCTGTGCCATTTGTGCTGCCCCTGACGAGAGTCCTGCCAAGAGACCTTCCAGCTGCCTGCCTGAACTACTGGACTGGTTCGGGGCCAGCGGTGCACATCAAGGCACAGTGAATGTTCTCTGTTCTCACTGCACAGCATTTGTTTCTCTTGTACAGTAAATAAAGGTTGCAAGGACTGTGCGTGACTCCTGTCCCTTTGCTGGCACTGGACTTCCCCGTCCCTCAGTGCTCCAGCTGCTCTCCTGGCCCCATTGCTTGAGCCTGTAGGGCAGAGCAATTGCCAGTGCCCCACCGCCTCGCCAGAGGAGCTGCTTGCTCCCGGGCCTGCGCTTCCAGGGAGAGCCCTGCAGCCAGGGCAGCCATTCTCCACGGGAGGGCGCTGGGGGGACACCTTGGTGAGAGCCAGGCAGGAGCAGAGCGGCTGTGCTGCTCTCGCACCGGCCTGCTCGCCCGGCTGCGCAGAGGTCCGGGGCACAGCCATTCACAGGACAACAGCGCCGCTGCCCAGAACTGGCTTCCTTCTGATCAGCTGCTTCTCTGGGTGGCTGCCGGGTGCGAGGTGCCTTGAGCACGCCTCGGGTTAGAATGGCAGGGCATGCCTTACTTCAACAACAAAATTATGCTGGCGCTGGTATGAATGCATTGCCAGAAGGCAGGATAGCTGCTTTAAATCAAGCATCCACTTTCTTGAAAATCAGTCTTTAAATCGATTAACTGAGTTCCACAGTTTTTAAAATGGTCTGTCAACTTGATAGACAGCAGATTATTTTTGCCTCTCAAATTGCCTCTCATTGTATCTGTCAGAGGGATTGTCAGAGTCAGGGGTTCTTCCAGATACATGTAGGTTTCATGTAGGTTCCATTTAGATGCCAGGAAGCCCTTCCTGACAGTTAGGGCCCCGAGGGTGTGGAATGGGCTTCCACGGGAGGTTGGTTGAGGCCCCACCAGTGAGGGTGTTCAAGGATAGGCTGGACATGCACATGGTGGGCATGTTGTGAGTGGAGCCGGCTGGAGCCAGGGGTCAGACTAGATGGCCTGGGAGACCCCTTCTGACTCGCTCTGTTTCTATGTTTCAGAGGAGGAGTAGCAGTGTTAGCTCATTATGAGCAAAACAGAAAATTCATTGGTAGCACTTTTGATTAACAAATGTCTTTTGGACAGTGCTTTAATTTTTTGGTGAAATTTTCTTCAATCCCTTTGTTACTAAAAATTAATGAATGCCAATTGCAAATAAACTAATAAGCAAGTTTGGGAGGTCCAGAAGTACGATTTATATTTTTAGGTGACTGCCCTTAGCAGGAGGCAGTGTGGTGTAGTGGTTATGAGCGTGGGTGGGGGACTCTGGCGATCCGGGTTCCAGTCCCCGCTCAGCCATGGAGCCGACTGGGTGACTTTGGGCCAGTCACAGACTCTCTGCCCAGCCTACTGCTCTGGGTTGTTAGGGAGATAAGTTTGAGAGCAGTAGAAGAATGATGTCAGCCACTCTGAGTTTGTTATAAGAAAATTGGGATATAAATTTAATAAGTATTTGAGATAATATGCCATGGAAATACATGTTTTGGAGCCAACTTAAACTAATAGTACTATTATTAATTTTATTTCTATACTCCCTCAGGCTTATTATAACCCAGGAGGGAGGAGACAGGGGCAAGCTGGGAAATAGGATTGGGAATCAGCTCCTTCTAATCACTCTGAAGAGTCAGCCTAAGCCACAATCAGTATCAGTTTCTAAAAAGGGAATTCTTGAAGAATGGAGGGAAGGAACAAAGGAGTTATCAGGTCTAACTGCTTTCCACACTGTCATATTTTGATTATGTTGTGAATATGTTTTGGATATGTTGATTTAATATTATTGATATTAAAATACTGTGTTGCTTTTCTATTCTGAGCCGCACAGAAAGCTGAGATATGGGCTATTGTAGCAGCATATAAATCCATTAAAGAAATAAATGAGAGGAAGATACAGATGGACCAACTGACAGGCAGACAAAAACAACCAGTGCAGTGCAACATACTGGTGCCTGGTGCCTGTCAGATATTTTTGGACTCAAGTTACCAGCAGCCTTGGGCAGCTTGGCAAATGGTGAGGATGCAACTTGAAGGCCAAAACTGCCAGAGGGTACCAGCTGAGGGAGGCCTTACATGGACTGCTGGATTTGGGCCAAGAAGGTGTTTGGTCACTGGGTGAACTTTGGCCACTAGCTAGCCTATCGAACAGGGTTGTTGAGGTTAATACGGCATGTTTATTCCAGGATTTCTTCCCCTGAACAGTTGATTCAAAATGAGCTCATGGGGAGATAGGATGGTGACTTTTGCAGTGATGGCAAGTCTTGAGACGCTAGGATGGGACAGTCTATAAAAACTCCAAACAAACAAACAAATGTAACATATAAAAGCTTTAAATAAATAAATGGCAAGTAGTGGAAAGTGCCAAGAAGTGAGGATAAGGGGAAAGTGCCTCCGGCAGACCTCTTGATAGCAGCTGGGCAGATGTTGAACTCGGATCAAAGAGTCACAGATCATAGAATAATAGAATTGGAAGAGGCCATGAAGGGCATCAGGTCCAACCTCCTGTTGTAGCAGGACAGCATGTTACACCATCCCACCCAGATGGCTGTCCAGTTTCTTTTGAATGTCTCCAGTGTGGGAGAGCCCCCCACCTCTCCAGGCAGCTGGTCCCACTGTCCTATTGCTCTGACCGTGAGGAAGCTTTTCCTGATGTCCAGCCTGAACCTGGTTTGTTGCAACTTGAACTGATTATTCCGTGTCCTGCACTCTGGCATCAGCAAGAAGAGCTCTTGACCTTCCCCTTTGTGGCAGCCTTTGAGGTACTTATAGAAGGATACCATGTCCCCCCTCAGTCTTCTCTTCTGAAGGCTGAACATGCCCAGTTCTCCCAGTCTCTCCTCACAGGGCAGCGTTTCCAAACCCTGGATCATTTTTGTTGCCCTCTGCTGGACTCTTTCTAATTTACCAGCATCTTTAAATCTTGGTGCCCAGAACTGGACACAGTATTCCAGATGAGGTCTGACTAGTGAGGAGTATAGGGGAACTACTACTTCTCATAATTTGGAAGTAATATTTCTGTTAATGCATCCCAAAGCAGCATTTGAGCTTTTGGCGGCTGCATCGCATTGTTGGCTCATGTTTAGCCTATTGTCTACTTACTCTGAGTACTTTTTCTTTTCCAGTTCTGCTGAGCCACGTATTTCCCATCTTGTGTTGATGCACTCGGTTGCTTTTTCCTGGGTGCAGGACTTGGCGCTTGTCCCTGCTCTGGGTTGGGGTGCCCTGTCCACTAGAATTCTTGAAGCACCATCTGGATGATCCCTGCACAGAGCAGAGTTAGCCTAGAGGGCCCCCACGCACCCTTCCATTACTAAAACCCCAGGCTGGTGTGCTTGTCATAGACTCATAGAAGAATAGAGTCGGAAGAGGCCAGGAAGGGCACTGGGTCGAACCTCCTGCTCAGTGCAGGCCTTCCAGTTAAACCTCCCCTCAGATGGCTGACCAGCTGCCGCTTGGATGCGTCCAGCATGGGAGAGGCCAGTCTCCCTGAATCCCTTTCTATTGCCATACTGCTCCAACAGTCAGGACTTTTTCCTTATACCTAGCTGGAATCTGGCTTCCTGTACCTTGAGCCCATTAGTCTGTGTCCTGTCCTCGCAGACTGCTATCATATCTCCCCTCAGTCTTCCCTTCTAGTTCTCTGATTATTTTTCATGCCCTGCTCTGTGCCCTTTCCAGCTTGTCTGCATCTTTCTTAAACTGTGGAGCTTAGAAGTGGACACAGGACGCCGGATGGGGGCTGATGAGTGCAGGTTGTAGGACGCACCTGGCCGGCCAGCATTACGCCCAGGGGCTGGCCATGTCCTCAGTGATGCCAGCGAAACCGGAGCCCAGCCCTGCAGGCGGGGATTGGGCAGTCCCCCTCTGGGGCTCTGAGCCCTGCCTCCCCGGTAAGAGTGGGAGCCACCAGGATTCAGATGGGCCCATAGACACCCATGGTGAGGATTTCAAACCAATGGACCTGGTCAGCAAGGCTATAGAAGGAGGATTGTGCCACGTATCCTGGGCTGACTGCCCTTTTGCTTGTGATCGAGCAATTCTCCAAAACAAAACCCACATTTCCTCTTCTCGTTCTGGACATGCTTGATTGGGCTAGCACCAAGACTGACCCCCTTCTGTCCTTCAAGGGGAATTAGTACTTGACTGGAAAGCAATGCTTCTCTTAATGCAGCCCATAAAAGCACTTGCATTTTTGCAGCCACATCACATTGTCACTTGCGGTCTACAACAACACCTCCTTGCTCTTGGTATCGCTGAGCCAAGTATCTCCCATCTCATACTGCTGCATTCGCTTCTCTTTTCCTAGGTGCAGAAATTGGCAGTTGTCCCTGTTGAATTTCATTCTGTTGCTTCCAGCCCAGCTCTCCAGCTTATCAAGACCACCTTGAATTTTGCTTGTCCTCCAGGGCATTAGCCATCCCACCCAGTTTTATGTCATCTGCAGATCTGGTAAGTGCTCCCTGTACTTCCTCATCCAACTCCCTTAGGGGCCTTAGCCAGGCAATACACCAAAGCAGCACATGGGCTAAGCACGGAGAAGTCAAACAGCACCACTGGGAAAAAGTGCTTTGCACAGAAGCAGGGAGGGCTCTGCAGCTCAGACTGAAGAAGGCCTCTCCCTGCAGGCGGTTCAGGGGTGGCTGCAAGCGCCTGGTGACCTCTGCATGCCTTCTGTTGCACGTCCCTCCTGCAAGTGGCAGCTGCAGCTGGACGGGGAACGTGTGGTGCCGAAACAGTTTTGCAGTTGCTTGCTTCAGAATTTTTTCCTTTCATTTCTCCCTCCCTCACTTGCTCCCTCCCTCCCTCTCAGTCTCTCCCTCTCTCTCTTTCTTGGAACAGTGTGGTTTGCATTAAAGCTGTGATATTTTGTTAGGGGAAAGAAGTAATGCATGCATTCCCACAAATCAATTTGGAAGATTTAACATTTATAAATAATCCAACAATTTGGGGACACTGAAAGGAGATTTCATATGAGGAGGAGATAAATCAGCCCTTCATTTGCATGCTTAATTTATTCCATCTTGTCTCTGCCAGTCTCCTTGGAGAGGACTCAGAAGGGTTTCTCTGAGGGATCCTCCCTTGGAAGCGTCTCCCATGGCTGCTCGGAGA